GGTCTACCTACATAGCAAGTTCCAGGCCAACTGGGGCTACAGGAAAACCTGTCTCAAAGAAACAAACAAACACTAATAATAAAAAAAAAAAACCAAAAATCAAACAAGCAAAGGTTGAGTGATATGGTTCAGCATGTCAAGGTGCATCACCAAGTCTGATGACCTGAGCTGACCCCAAGGACCCAAATGATGAAAGGAGAAAACCAGCTCTCCTAAGTTAGTTGTATTCTGACCTCCATATGCACGCCCCACCCTCCAAAAATAAGGCACATCAGAAAGGTATAAATTTATTTGAGAAAGTAAGGGTCTAGCCAGGCATGATGTCTTGGGGCTTCAATTCCAACCCACAGGAGGCAGAGGTAGGCGGATCTCTAGGAGACTGAGGCCAACCTGGAACCCGGTCCAGGTGTGCACCCTATTACAGGTGTGTACCCCCACCTGGCTCGACCCTTGTTTTATTGAATAATTTTATACCTTTTCAAAGGTATAAAAATAAGGGTTTGGGAGGCTGAGCCAGGAGGACTACAATGAGTCTGGGGCTAGCACAGGCTACAGTGTGAGACTGCCTCAAACAAAAAAGTCTGAAAAATATGGCTGAACAATGGAAGACTTTAAAAACATTTTTATATAGAAATAATTTCAAATATATATTTATAAGTATAAAAAACATTATAAAGAAAAATCTCATATCCTTCACCCAGATTTACCTAATGGACCCGATTCAGCCTTTTGCCAACATATTCATGAATAAAAAACAGGGTATCCTTATAAAGCACTGACAGTCAAAAGCTGTTGCTAAGATTTTGCATATTCTCAATCTCTCTCTCTCTATATATATATATACCTATAAATATAAATATATGCACACATGTATACTATGTGCATATACTACACATACATGTACATATTTTTCTTAATCTTTTGAAGATAAATTACATATACCATAGCCTTGATTTTTGGTTGTCTTTTTAAAAATATTTTTATTTAATATTTTTATTTTTATGTGTATGAGTGCATTGTCTGCATGTATGTGAGAGCACCCATGTCATGCAATGCCATGGAGGTCAGAAGAGGGCGTTGGATTCCCCTGGAACTAGAGTTAAGGATGGTTCATAGCTGCCATGTGGGTGCTGGGAATTGAACCCGGGTCCTCTGCAAGAGCAGTCAGTGCTCTTGTTGTTGTCTTTTTAAGACAGGGTCTCCCTGTAGCCCCAGCTGGCCTGGAAGTCACCATGAAGACCAGGCCTGCCTTGAACTCACAGAGACCCTGCTTCTGCCTCCGCCTCCCATGTGCTGGGATTACAGGTGTGCACCCTCACCTGGCTTGACCCTTGTTTTATTGAATAATTTTATACCTTTTCAAAGTACATCAATGTTTCCCAATAATGGTACTACCATATATAACTATAGTTTAGTTAGGAGTCTAAAATCCAGTTCAGAACTTTCATCTATCTGATGTATATTCCAGGTTTGTCAAATCACCCAGTAATGTCCTTCATAATATTCCCTCCACTCCAGTGCTGGATCTGGCCAGGGGACAGGTATTCTATTTAGACCTCATGTCTCTTTAACTTCTCTTAATGTCAAGCATTGTATCCTGTTAGGTTCCACAGCTCCAAATAACAGAAACCACACACATGCAGACCTTGCCAGATGCTTCCCCAAAGTTAGACTCAGGTTAATACATTCTCAGTCAGAATGCCACACAGGTGACACTGTGTCCTTTCAGGGTGTCACATTTTGAAGGCACGTGATGACTTCTTCACCAGTAAAGACAACTTTTAGCATCAAACTGTTTTCTCAATTTTCCACTGCATAATTACTATTTCTCCTTTATAATTAGCAGTGGTTTACAGTTACTTTTAAACCACGTAAATATGTAGATATCTTGTTCTTCATTAAAATTTCCTCCTAAACTTAGCATCTTAATTTGTCCTTAATTCAATCTTTACTAAAACAAATTCAAAATGCTTCTTTGTAAATGTAGCAGCTTCTCTGCTGTTACAAGTCAGCAGTCCACATTCACCATGAGCCAGAGCTCATCTATTAGATAATCTAATTATAAATGGTATGGGTTCCTGAGTTACTATTATTCAATGATGCATCATTTATGACTGTGATTAATGACTCAGTACTCCAGTTCATCCAGATTTAGGGATGGAAGCTCTTGTTGATGGGCCTCTGTCAATCTCAACACTTTCTTATTTTCTGGGTTAAGTTGTTCCAGGCTGTCTTAGTCTGTTTCTTCATTGCTATGACGAAATACTCTGACCAATACCAACTTGGGGAGGAAAGGGTTTATTCAACTTACATCTCCCAGGTCACAGTTCATCAGGGAGCCCAAGGCAGGAACTCAGGGCAGGAACCTGGAGGCAGGAGCTGGAGCACAGGCCGGCTTGCTCCCCTGGTCCCTGCTCAGCCTGCTTTCTTATGCAACACAGGCCCACCTGGCCTAGGGGTGGCACCACCCACAGTGGGCTGGGCCCTCCCACATCACTAATCAAGAAGATGCCCCTAGACGTGGCCACAGGCCAGTCCAATAGAGGCAATTCCCCAACTGAAGCTCCCTCAACCCAGGTGTGTCAAGTTGACACTAAAGCTATCCAGCACACAGGCTCATCACGTATTTACCTCCAGGCCCTGCAACCAGTGATATGTGCGGGTGGCGCGTGCATGCATGCGTGTGTGAGTGTGTTTCTGGACACAGGCTATGTGCTTATTAGATTCCAGTCTTCCAGTTCTGGAAAATTTTCTTGGATGATAGCTCTAAGATTTGGTGTCCAGTTGTTTTGACTAGTTTCTTCAAGAAAATCTTCGTTTTCATGAACTTCAACATATTTCTAGTTGGTACTTGGCAATTAAATTTTCATTTCTGATATTTACTAAATTTTAGCAAGTTTCATTTTATTTTTGCTGATTTTTAATTTCTACTCGTCTTTAAAAATTGTTTTATTACATTTATTTATGCATTTGTTTTAGTGTGTGTGTGTGCATGTGTGGTGTGTGTGGTGTGTGTGTAAGTGGTGTGGTGTGTGTGTGGTGTGGTGTGTGTGTGTGCATGTGTGGTGTGTGTGGCGTGTATGTGGTGTGGTGTATGTGGTGTGGTGTGTGGTGTGTGTGTGTGTGTGTGTGTGTGTGTGGTGTGCATGTGCCACAGCACCTATGTGGTAGTCAGAGGACACCTTGGAGAAGTTTGTTTTCTTTCTACCATACAGGGTGAGTCCTGGGGATCAAACCCAGGCTTGCAGGCAAGTCCCTTTACCCACTGGACCATCTCACCAGCTGTTATCTTGTCATTTAAAAAATTTCAGACTTGAGGCATGATTTTCTTGGCCTCAGATACTGAAGAAAGCCAGCTGAATTTGGAGTGTTTATTACAGCTCTTTTTAACTCTGTAGTTCAAATTTTTATCAGGACAAAATGTTTAAATCACAATGTTTGATTTGTGGAGTTGTTTGGTAATGAAGGGGAATTATTTTTCTGCTTTTAGAAGTTATTTCATAGTGGGCTGAAGAGATGGTTCAGTGGTTAAAAGCACTGGCTGCTCTTGCAGAGTATCCAGGCTCCGTTCCTAGCACCTACATGGTGACTAAAAACTGTCAGTGACCCTAGTTCCAGGGGATCTGATGCCCTCTTTTGGCCTCCGTGGACATTGCACACACTAGGGCATTTACACATATGCAGGCAAAATACTCATACACATAAAATAAGTAAAATCTTCAAAAATAAAAATAAAAATAATCATAGAGAGGTCTGGGATCAGATGCCTCTTCTGAGCAGGCGATTTATCGATCATATTACTGACAGTTATTGGGCGGGGGCAGAGGGATATGTTTTCTCTCCTTCTAGGGCCCTTAATTTCTTTCCTGCTATTTTCACCTTCCTGTCACTGGCTAGTCTCCAAGGCACTGCCCCTCTTCCCTTTACCCGACTCTTTCCCAGGAGCAGAGGCCCTTGGAGGCTGCTCCCTGCTGGATGCATGGCCTTTTCAGTCCTTCAGGCGAAGCTGAGAGCGGTCACGGCCCACTGCTGCTCAGGGCTCAGCATTCATTCTGCACTTGCTTCTGCCGGGGCTCATTTCACGTACACTGCACCGCTTTCTTGTTTCCCTCTACCTTTCTCAGAGGCTTGGAAGCACTTCTTTCTCTTGGTACCCGGTTTCGGTTTCAGTAGCAGGTGAGCGGCAGGCGTTTCCCTGGACAGTCTTACTCTATATGCACTTTGAAGGTTTGGGTCAGTCTTTGTCACAGTCATGTGGAAGGTGTGAGTCCTACATGGCTCTGCTTGCTTTCCTGATCAATTTTACATGTGCTGTGAGCACAGCTTAGAGGTTAAAAAATCAAGCAGTGAGCATGATCTTTATCAGGGCTCGCTTAACTCAGTATCTTTATTTCCATTTAATCTGCAGTTTGTGCTTTTACTTCCTGATACTGCTGTTTGTTTTGTTTTGATCTACCTCCAATTTGTTGAAGATAATGCAAAGTGAAAATAAAATTTTAAGTTTTTTATTAACAAGTAAATGTAAAAAGTGCTCTGTTTCAGAATTTGGAAGAGGAGCACTGTTTTTTTTTTTTTTAATTTTCTTTAGTAAAATCTTGAAGTATGAATAACAAAAAAAAAAAGAAAGAAAAAGAAAAGGGGAACTGAATAGAAAGAAAAAGAATAGAAAAGCAGATATTGGTCTTTTTGGCTAGTGGAAGCCATTTCAAAGAGGAGTTTCAAAGTCTGCTTGAGTAATGGAGCAGGACTCCAGTGGGGGAATGAGTGCCAAGCGACTGCTTTTCAGAGCTCTGCATTTTCTCCTGTGTTGTTTGCGGCAACAAACGCTATAAGATGATCAAGTGTCACTGCTTTGAAGTTTACCTCACACACCGTCATACACAGAGGAAGATACACACTTCACAGACACGTGCACACCATAGTCACATACATGCCTTACAGACATGTGCACACATACACACACACACACACACACACACACACACTCAACGTGCGCTCACCTGTCTCATGGTCTGGAGCTCTTCTGTTAGTTGTTTCCTTTGCTTCTCTGATTCAGTTAATTTTTCCTGTGTTTAAAAAACACTGAATTAGTAGCTTGTCATGATGATACCAAGTCTGATGTTTAGTCCTCTGTTTCAAAGTTTATTCCCCAAATATCAAATTGCTAACATTTCCAAATGTATTTTCTGCCATGTTTCTGCTTTTACATATATAATTCCTTAGGAGTTAGTCATCTAAAGTATATCTGTGGTGAAAACATCTTTTATTACCTCAACTTAATAAGATGTCAAAATCTGAAACCCAAAAGAAGTCAATCAGGATCAAAATGGGAATTTGGGGTGACAGCTATCATTATCAAAGAGCTTTGAAATGGAAGAACATTATTATTCTGAATTAAGATGTAAAATCTAGTAATACTAAAAGGGAGTAAGACTGGGTTAACCACTACTTTAATAATTTAATTCGGGCTCATTCTTGAAAAATTATCCATCAAAAGGACATGACTATGGCGAAAACATGAAATATGTAGTTGACTATGATATAAAGATAAAATATTATCATTTTTGAACCTAAAATTAAGCCAAGTATACACCATAAATTTTTTTAAATAGTCTAATCAAAATAGTAATTTAGGAGCCACTTTATTGCAAACTTGAGAAGAACAACTTGAACCTTAAACTGGGTGGTAAAGATGTGTGGCAACAGTACGATGTTTATAGGAGGGAAAATCTGATTTCTGGAATAGGTCAGCTCGTTCTGGTCTAGGAGGTGAAATGAAGGTAAGTGATGATGAATATAAGAGAGCAATCTAATGACTGCCACAGAGCCTGCTGTTCCTGTGCCTCTACGCTCTGGAAGTCACCTTCACTCTGGGTTTGGTGCATCTGTAAAGGGGAAATACACTTATTTTCATTTCTCTTTGCAAACAGGAACAGTGTGAATTCTGAAGAAAGACTTTGGGTTAAGCAGATTCCATGGTACTACTGAAAATCATTTATGCAAAGTAAAAATTAGCCATAAGTCCAAATTATCTTACCTTGCATTCAGCTTTATTTGCCTCAAATGAGACAGAAAGACTAGAACTGTCATAGTGGCCGGGCATTTCTATACTCTATGATCTTCATTTAGCAAGCGTTTTTTTTTCTCTCTCTCTCTCTTTCTCTCTCTCTCTCTCTCTCTCTCTCTCTCTCTCCAGCTCTCTCTCTCTCTCTCTCTCTCTCTCTCTCTCTCTCTCTCTCCATACCTATAGTAAACAGACAGTACTTCAGGGAAAATACTTACTGCTTGATATACTATTCTATACAACTGTTTTAAATGGCTCTCAGAGTAACATTTGCTTGCAGAAGAAATTGAAACATGGAGTCTCTCTACCTGACTTCAGGTTTTGCCTCATTAGAATTGGCTCAGTTATATTCACGAGCCTGAAATGCGATCTTGACTGAATGACTCCTCAGGGCCCTTGCTTAAATGTTACACAGGAACAGATTACACAGTTTTGAATTACAATTCTAGCAATTAATTGACATTCAAAAAACAAAGACAAAATGTAAGGATATGCAAAAGGTACAAGGACTTGTGAGGATTCTGACAGATGGTAATGTTTTGTGTGGAGAAGAATCACACAGAAATGCTGTCCTACCAACTGGCCAACATTATAGGATTTCTCCAAGAGAATAAGGAAAAACTACATCAATTAATTTTTTAAGTTAATTATATATTTTCTATCTAAATTTTCATTACATCAAATGGTGGGAGGAGCAGTTTTGGAGACGTAACACATACCTGTAACTGTGGAAAGAGCATATATAGGAAGGAATATGGATCAGCCAAGCCTTTTGAAAGGAAATTTACTGTGTACTTACAGAACTGCCCACAGACACATCCACTAAGTTACTGAAAATGGAGTTACTGTTTTTAAGATTTATTTTTATTTTCATTTATGTGTCTGTATGAGTCTGCCAAGTGTTCTCAGGTGCCCTTGGAGGCCAGAAGACGGTGTCACATCCCTTGGAGCTAGAGTTATAGGAGGTTTGATCTGTCTGATGGAGGTGCTAAGAACTTAACATGGGTCCTCTGGAAGCGTGGCAAGTGCTCTTAACTGCTCAGCCATCTCTCTTGTCCCTGGATTTATTTTAATAATGAAAAGCTGGAAATAACCTAAGTATATAAACAGAGAACTGGGTAACTAACCTACAACAGAATGTGTCAATGCACAGGATGTTTGTTCAGAAAAATATGGTAGATCTGTGGTAAAAGCTGCCAAAGATTCAACTCTAACACAGGGAGATAGCTGTAAAAAAAGTGAAGCCACAAGAAGCAATTTATGCAAGAGTTCGCACACATATACTTCCCTTTAACTGTTGAGAGAATTAGTTTTTTAGAGCATTTTAGGGTTAGGGTAAACCTGAGAGGAAGGCATGGTGGGTTCCCATATGTCATTGAACCCTATACACATGCATTTAGTTTTTAAGATAAGATTGACTGGGATGTCTTCAAAAACTTTCTGGAAGGACAAGCAAGAAATTTTTAATGCTAGCATCCTCTAAAGACTGGAATTATACAGCTAAGGTAGAAAGAAAATAGTTCTTTTTGCATAAAGAATTTATATTAATAAAACTAACAAGACTATCACTTCACAAAATAATTTTAAAGTACATTTTTTAAGGCAAGATCTCACTATGTAGCCTTAGCTGGTCTGGAATTCGCTATGTAGACCAGGCTGGCCTTGAACTCACAGACATCTGTCTGCCTGCCTCTGCCTCCCAAGTGCTAGGATTAAAACTCTGTGCCACCACATCCAGCAAAAATAGTTTCTGTGGCAAACTGGTGGTAAACAAAGAGTTATGTTACTTTTCGTGGAAAATAAAATGGCTTCCTGTAAAAATTAAGATTTAACTTTTATTGAAAAGAGAATGAGCCTGGCATGGTAGCACATTCCTTTATAGTTACCCCCAAACTCTAAGCTCCTCATTCAAGGTACCACATTTAAGTGATAAGGTGAACTTTATGCTTTTCTCTTTCAACCTCTCTTCACTCTGCTTGTGGTGGCTGACCCTGTTAGTGACAGCGCTCCATCTGGCCTCTATGTAAGGGTAAGGGACTACCTTTCTTCCTTATGGGAGACTCCTTCACTCTCAATGTGTGGCACAATGACGGAGACAGTAGGCAGGTGGATCTCTGTGAGATCAAGGCCAGCCTTGTCTAGTAGCAACTTCCAGAGCAGCTGGGGCTACAGAGAGACAATGTCTCAAAAAACAGCAACAACAACAAAAGAAATTATACAGAGAATCAAAGTGCTATAGTATATTTGGGGCATATGTGTGTTGTTCTTCTATTAAAACATATTGCCTTGATTTTCAAATTACTCTAGCAAAATACAATGTCCCTCAAACATGGCCTGCGCCTGGAAAAAAAGTATTTTTGATGAACATCAGAGGATCCCAAGTTGGCATAGCTTCCTTTCTTGGCTCCTAAGTAAATTCTGCTGTTGTCAACAACATGAGAACAGGAAAGGATTAAGAAGCAGCCAGATCATAAGGTAAGAGCAAAACCAACTGCATACACTAAATCTTATATGGCTATGAAATAAAATAAGTGCACTGGGGCTGGAAAGTTGATTCACAGGTTAAGAGCACTGGCTGCTCTTGCAGAGGACCTGGGTGTGGTTCCCAGCATCCATATGGCAGCTAACAACCGTCTGTAACTCCAGTCCAGGGGATCCAACATTTTCTTTCGGACTTCTGGACACCAGGCACTCACGTGGTGCTCTTATATACATGCAGACCAAACACTCATATATAAATTAATAAAATCTGAAATATAACTTTAAAAAAGTATGTGAACTAAAAGATTAACTCTCTAAAGGCAATTAAGACTGTTTTGATCCTATTTGATGCTAACATACTTCCACTGAAAACAAAACAAAGCCTCAATATTTCAGACTGCAATATAGGATTATTTTTTTTTCTTTTGCAAAGAAAATATAAGGATGCCAAACTGCAGGTTACCTTGAGCATATGCACTTCTTCTAAAGCATCATTCCTTTCTCGTTTAAGTTGTTCCAGTTCATCTGCTTCGAAAGACTCACAGGGAAGAAGCTGTCAACATTAAAACATAAAAAGTTATGTTATCAGATACAAATTTTGAGACCCAGCCTTTTGACTATTCCTATACTATCCTATTCCGTGATAAAATTCAGATTTTACTAAGAGTTGTTTGATTACAGACAGGAGAATATTAAAGTATGGGGCAATCTCACCCATTTAGGCTTAATATTATACTGTTGTTATCTAGAATTTATATGATTAAAAGACAGATGTACTCCTGATAGCTTTATGATTCTTATTTTAGTATGATTTTCCTAGAAAGTCCAAATTCTGTAACTGTGTTTGAAATCTCCAGTAGACATTAGGAGTTATCAAACACAAACCTTCCACCTAGACATTCCCAAAGTGGATAGAATGCTACACATTATCAATGAGGATGATTTATATGAGCATAGAAATTGTATTTATGAATTGTGAATCTTGTTTTCAGTGAATGGGAAGTAATGCGACAGCCTGGTGGCTTGAAAAGACTTCTACACAGGAACTGGATTAAAGATTGTTTTAATAACAGTCACAAGCAAATAACAGAAACAGCAGATGAATATTTTTCATGTCATGTGATCATTTTGAACATCAACTACACAGTTAAAAACTGACAGTCTAAACAGATAAAACCCAAGTCTAACTACAGACATCTTCTACAAAGAAGCCACAATAGCCAAGAAAGAAGTAGTACAGGCAGCACCACTTAAAGGATTAAGTGGAGAAAAGGATTGCTCTATTAGCAAGCTTAAAGCAGGGCCCTTTAAATAGGAGACACAAATGCAGGAAGGATAGTAAAAACTATGAATGATACCATGGAATACACACAACAAACTGGTATTTGCTCTGCAAACCCAAGAAAAATAGAAGTGGCAGTTATTGTTAATGTGTGGGAAGAAACTTGCCCCCCTAAACCCTGTTGGGTCCTTTCTCTCCCCCAGCATTGGTACTGGGTGTGTAGAGTCATTATCTATATTTAACTGCTCGTATTCTTTGTTTAATGTATATTTTATTGAATTTTGTGCATTTCATACAATCAATCTTATCATATTTAGCCTCCCAACCCCAGGATTTCATGTATTCTGCTATATATGTTAAGGTCTATCTGGTCAAGCTTTTGTACCCAAATGTCACTCACTGCAGGTTCATCCACTGGAGCCTAGTCAGTCTATCACTCCCTTAAAGGTCAACTCTCTCTCACCCAGCAGCAATCAGTTGCTAATCGTTCCTCGGCTAAGGTTGAGGCCTCATGCCCACTTCCCCAGTTCTACTGTTTTTTGTCTGACTGAATCTGCATTGGTTTTACGCATGCTGTCACCACTGCTGCAAGTTCACATGAGCAAGTTCCCAAAGGCATGGAAGACTTTGCTTCCTTATGTTCACGCACCTTCCCTGGCTCTTACAGTCTTTCCACCCTCACTTCCACAATGGTTGCTGAGCCACGGGGTTATTACAGGAGTCCTATCCAGAGACACGCACTCTGCAGTCTCTTGTTCTCTACACCTTGGCCAGCTGTGCCTTCTGTGTGCATTGCACTCTGCTGCATGAAGCTTCCCTGGTGAGAGCTGAGGTATTTTTCTCGGATACACCAATCTCTCAGAAGTACTCAGTGAAACACTTGTGAGAATTCGTCCCCACATTGTTTTATTTTGAAAACAATCTTCAACTATAGCACTGTTTTCCAAAGATTGTTCCAGTTGATATAAACTAATTTTGTGTAAAAGTAAAACTGAGTGGCACTGATGGCAGTAATGGTATATGATTTAGAAAACAAAAACTTTCCTTCACAGCTACAACATTGTTTTTGAAAAATGTGTATGAGTGTTTTGCCTGCAAGTATGTAAGTGCACTCATGAGTGCATTGACCAGAGGTCAGAAGAGGGCATCAGGATCCACAGAACTGGAGTTACGGAGTGTGGTAAGCCACCACATGAGTGCTGGGATTCAAACCTGAGTCCTCTGCAAGAGCAGCCAGTGCTCTTAACTGTGGAGCCATCTCTCCAGCCCCAACATTCTTAATATGTTAAGGAACATGTGAATTTTAAACAAGGCTGATTAATTTCATGTCCTGTCCACTTCTTCTGTGATGTGGCTATACTACAAAACCCCACACTTCAACCTTAGTGACTCCATTATTTACTTTTTGTATTGCCTATGGAACAAAATGTCTACAAAGCGCAGTTATCATGTAGGAACACTGCTACCTGATATTCATATGGGCCCATTATAACTTCTTATTCTAAGAACTAAAGTTAAGAGGATTCAAAAGTTTAAATAAAATTTTAGATTATGGAACTATAAAAATCTATTGAGAAATCATGGCTTGGAATTTTAGGGATGTATTCATAAACTTTTGAGCTTAATATCACACGTAAAATAATTTACCTGGGGGAGACAAAGTACTAGTCCCAGAACAAACCATGATGAAAACATATTACAATCCCACTGCTGCTGTGGACCAATCAGCAGAAGCTACAGTTGTTACTTGTTAAGGCTTTGAAATGCCCCTTTGTGCCTGCTGAGTTTTAAAGGGTTTTAAGGTTAGTTTATTTATTTATTTAGTTTTTTATTTATGCGTTTGTGTACAAGCACATACGTGTCCCACAGCCTGCATGTGGAGATCAGAGGATTCCTTGTAAGGATGCCACTCCTTCTACCATGTAGATTCCGATGATCAAACTCAGTTTATCAGGCTTGGCAGCAAGAGCCTTTAACAGCTGAGCCATTTGACTGGCCCCGACTGTGTGTGTGTGTGTGTGTGTGTGTGTGTGTGTGTGTGTGTGTGCTCAAGTAAACTTCAATGAAGCAAGCAGCAAATGAAAAGAACTGTTGCTATTTAATACTGAAGAGTCCAGACAGATGCTTGATTTCCAGTCTATGTCCAACTCTTGAGGTTCCTTCTAACTACTACGTCTTGTCTGGCTCTCACAATATCCTTGGAACCTCTAAAACACTGCAAAGTTTGGTCAGCAACACTGAAAGATGTAGCTCCTCTGCTGTGCCCAGGTCCTTCTGGAGGTAGCAAGAACATTGCAGGCAGCTGGGCTGAACTGTTTGGGCGTGCTTCCCCTGCTCTGTTCCTCTACCATCATTTCAGTTGTTTTTAATTTATATCAACTATGGAGAGCTAGTGTCCCATCCACTACACTCCCCAAACTCAATACATCTCAGAGGAAAACCATAACCTGTGTTTAGTCTGGTTTTATTGCTAAGGCCTTCCATTAGGAACCAGTTCAGTTACCTGCTTTTCTTATAGAATTTGAGGCTATCACTCTATTCGCCTAAACTACTGTTTCTCTTTTTCTCATTCATTTCCCATGCTTATTCCTTCCACTTACAATGTTTGACCCCTTTCCGCTTACACCCATATTTCTAAAATGGTTAAGATTTCATAAATAAAACTGCTATCTGACAAAATAAGTGCCCTGCCAACTTCCATGTCTTTGTTACAGATGATATTGCTCAACATATTTCTTCAACTATTTTCTTCTCCAGGAACAGCCCACTGTCTTCATGTACTTTCTGAAAATTCAGACTGTGTCTAATGACTTTTTATTCCGATTTCTTAACTGGGAGATGGGTGTGCAGGTCCCTTAAGTGTCCCTTTTGTCTTCTTCATAAACTGTCATTACATTCACTGTCGCACTTCAGTTATGATTCTCCAGAAACCATCCCAGATCCCTCTCCTGGTGTGCAGTGAATTCCAATAGCTATGTGCACCTGGCAGTACCTTCCTCTTCCACTCTCTAAAGGGCACCTGTCGCCTCTTCTATAATTCCCCGAGGAAGGGTTTCCTCCTGTTTGCCTATCTACTGCTGTACCATCATTCACAACCATAATGATGAAAACCCAGGGGTGACCTTTACTCATTCCGCTCTCCCGTTTCTCACATCCGATGGTCAGCATGTCTCACTGGTGACACACTTGTTTGAGGTAAACATAGATCTGTCACTCTTTTCCTGTCCATTTTCCCCACACTCACTGTACTGTAATTCTTATCCTGTATGTGAATTTTCTCGATAATCCCCTCTTCTAGATTCTAACCCCAGTTTTACTCCTTTCCCACATAACTGACACACACAGCAACTCTTTCCAAAACATTTTGATAATGGCACAATTTTCTCATGGATTGTGGCCACTAAGTACAAAGCTATATATTTAGATTAGGCCTTTTAAGACCTAAAGTGTTACCCTCATGTGTATGATTATCTTTTTTTCTTGTTTTAAAGACTTCTCCCTGCTTACAATGACATTTAATCTTTTTTTGCTGCTGTTCCTTTTAATACTTTCATTGGTGATAGAGAGTGGGTAAGACAGGGCCTGTGTAGCCCAGATTGGTCTCAGCCTCTTAAGTGCTGGGAATACAAGTCTGCACCACTACTTCCAACTTCACCCTAAACTCCTTACCCACCTTTGAGCACAATGATTTCTGTCGTTTCAGTTAGCTTTGTTATAAACCTTGTCTGACTGTTCTAAGCTCTATTACTATTATGGCCTTATTATATAATGCACTTTGGAAAGCACAATTACTTGTCTACTTGACTTTTTAGTGCCCTATAAAGGGCAAGTTTTATCTATCTTAGTATTAACAGCATTTACCATGGTACCCACCACAATGTCATGGACACTGTACTTGTTCAGTATGTATCTGGTACAGATAGGTCTTCTGAGGTTATAGAGATTGCTATATTGCTAAACATAATGAAAAATACCATTTATATCCTGACCCAATGTTAGTGAAATATTACTCAGTCTCATTACACATACCTCATTTTGATATTTTCATTCTGTTAAATAGTGGCCTCAATAAGCTAAATTAAGAGCACAAATTGTGAAAAATCTATCTTATGGAAACTACAGGGTTCTTACAGCTATTTGAAGATAACCCATTCATGACACCTGAGTGACTGATACAGCCACCATACTACGATGGATACAGTCTGCTGCTAGGTTTGAGGTTCTGCTGAGTATGGATGTGTCTCCAACCTTGCTTTCCCCGTGTGTAACCT